ATTCCCTGCCCAACTCTCCAGCCTGTCCAGGAGGCAAAAGACATTTTTTAGACCACTATGCATTTGAAACCCCAGGCTCTAGCTTCAGCACACTGAAGTTTTAACTGGCCATAAGACGAGTAACTTCTGCTGGCACACTCAGGTAGACTATAAGCCAATTTTCTACTTAGCCTTTCCATTTTTGGATGCCAACTGTGTTTTCTTGATTAAAAACCAGCAAGGATCTCACAGTAAGAAAGAAAACACCTGGGGTTTTCCCACGCTTACAGAGCAACAGTTCACTATTTGGATTTCTCTAATCTATCTGGTCTCCTGAATAGGGCAAATGAGTTCGGGCTACTGAAACCAAACAATCTTAAAAACAGGAGAGTATTTATTCAGTAACAGGTGATTTCCTAAAATATTGAAGATGAAATATAAAGGGACTAGGAGCCATCCTGAAAACTGCAAAACCCACTGTATTTCAGAGACAAAAGTCCCAATCAACCAAAAGGAGGACTGAAACACAGTGAATTTCAAGTTACGCTTAAGCCCTTCCTGTAGCAATCTCATAGCATCAAGCACCTAAAGAGCCATCTTCAGCCACCTTCATTTCTGCTGGGGGAGCCATCTGAATACAGCAAGAATGCCACTGTTGTACAGAACCTGCCAAATAAAGTCAGTCTAATAGTGGAATAGAATTTAATAACAACAAATGCCATAAAAAATGATACATAAAAAATGTCAAAGGACACACCTTGAACAGAACTATTTACAACAGCCCTGAAATCAGCTCACTGCGCAGCGAGCAGGAGCCCCGAAGGGGTGCAGACTAGAGGGATCAGTTACATGGCAGGTTTCAACAACAGGTTGTTGTGATGATCACAGGGAAAAAAAATAAGGGGGCGCTGATATCTGACAGGATGCTTCTGATAAATGAGCCCCCCACAGGCTGCAGTTATTCTGAGTAGGCATCCAGGAGGAGACAAAGAGGAAAAGGAGCTGATCACCTGTTGCCATGTAAACCAAATTCAATTCATCGTATACTTTCCCCAGGACACAAGATTTGGTTTCATGATGCGAAGGAACAGCCCAGGAGGGATGCAGCTATGATTATATTCCTCTGTCACGCAAGTCCCTGCTCAGTATTTAATGCTTTTACGCTAGGTTTGCATGAGCAGCAGCACAGCTCACTGCTGTGCTGGGAGAACAGCGTTCCCTTCCCCAAGGGATGCCAACAACATAGGAAGTCACTTCATTAGACTCTCAGGCCAGTGAGTTTTTAGAACAGAAGCTTTGCCAATTAATTTCCCCTCATCTGCAGCAACTCTTTTTATTATTTCCGCCCCCCCAGCATCCTTCATCCATCATCATCACCTGCTGTTTGCAGAGCAAAACCTTCATTCTCTTTTTTTCTTGTTCTTTTTCTTCTTCACAACTCCTGGCAGCACCGAGTTCTCTGTGCGACTGCTGTCCTGTCCATTTGCAGACACCGACCGTGGCAAATCTTTGCTGATCTGGTCACACTCTGCTGGGTCCATTACTGTCTCTTGAATATTGTTCTCTCTCCTAATTTTCTTTTTCTTCTTTTTTTTCTGGCCGTGCTCTGCGTAACCCTGACTCTGATCCTGGCTGGAATCCTGGGACAGTGCAGGGAAAGCACTTTGCTTCAGAATGTCTGCAGCAGACACAGCAGCCTCCTGGTACTTTAGCATCTCCTGGTCACTGTCTGTGTCGCTGAAAAGGTAACAGGAGCAAAGGAAGCTGTGTCACACTTCTCCCTCGAAATCACCCAAAGCACAGACAGCAGAGTAACCCAAGGTGAGAACACCCGATAAACACTCAGTGGCTCTGGGACTCCAAGTTAGCATTTAACCAGTTTGAAGGCTGAGGAGCTCTTTACACATACGAGGAGGTGAAAGAACACATCCCACAAACATTTCTAGTTCCCCTGAGCTAAAAAAAACCCACACCACCAAAAAAGCCTGCTCTAGTCAAATATAGGAGTCACAGATACACACTTCAAGCTTCTCAGCTTCCTATTTCCTTGAGAGAGCCCCAGCTGCCTCTGACATGTGGGATGCAACAGTACTTCAGGAGCAAAGCAGCTGACACCACCTCACCTGGAGCTAGATGGCCGCCTCCTCCTCGCTGCAGGGCAAGGCTCCAACTCCCCAGAGTCTCCTGGGACAGAGGAAGAGAAGAGGCGAAAACCTGAAATATGTCAAAGGGAATTTTTAGCCACAATACAAAACAAAGGTGAAAGCAATCAACTGCAATCTCCCTGGGAAGCCTCACTGCTGTTACTGTGTAGAAATAGTGCTTAACAGCAATTGTTTGGGACTATGTGAGAGGAGTTAGGGCACAAAGATCACAGCTTCAAAGCAACAGCCTGCACGAACGCCAACAGAAGTGCTTCTGTTGCAAATGCTTATCAGTCAGTTGCACGCACAACTGGCAAGGGATGGGATCCATCCCACTTGTCATCACTGAACAACGTCACAAAACAGCCACAACGGCTGTGACCAGAACTCACCGTCATCTGCAGAGTCAGGCTGCGGCACAGAAGGTCGTGAAGGTTTCGAGGAGTCCTTCAAGACAGTGATGAAACTAAACAGAAAACCCCAGTCAGGCCTTAAGACAGGTTTGTGCAAACTGGGTCCCTCTAGGAAACAAGGCTACAGGGAGATGTTACATAGCTGCTTTGTTTTCAGTGAAGCTGCCTGACCTCCTGTCTCAGAGCACACCGTGCCTTCTCTCCTTAGCAACACATGCCATGAGAGTGATTTAAAAGCAGCTCTTCTAAAGCCAACTCTTAAACACCAGGAGTTCTAGCTCTCTGGGACCACATTTGCACCATAAATAAAGAGAGGCAGCCCCATCAGAGGCATACTGCCAGCACAACACTGAATCAAGTATTGATTTGGGCTGCAAGACTGGATGAAAGATCCTCAATCTGGCCTCTAAATTTTGAAAGTGTTAAGGTACCTCAACTCCACCTTGTCCTCCCCACAACCCATTCACCACAGAGACAAATGCACAGGAGGGCACAGCACAGGGGCCAGGTTAGTTCACACCATGTTGGAAGTCTGCATTAAATGCAGGACCGAAGGAGACAAGAAGAGAAACAACTTCTCTTCCATACGCAGTTTGCACTGGGATCTTGAATTTCCTGGTTTTAGGGGGCAAAAGCATCAGCGTAATTCACTCAGAACAAACTTTTTCAGTATTTGTTGCCAATACCCATCTAGAATTGCTCCCAGCTTCTTCGCAACGTGCGCTCTGAACTCTGGTGTTGTCTGTAGCTCGTTTCCATCCTCACCATGGCCATTCACCTGGCACCTGTTTAAAATAAGGATGATTATTCTCTCTCTCAAGGCCAACACCACCTGCTGCTCCCATTCTAACAGGGGATAAGGGACTGGAAAATCTCCTACCCTCTAGTAATCAATTCAAACTTGACAGGGAAGACTGCTAAGAAAGATGGAAAATAGCTCAGCAGTCACAGCTCAGATCCCAAGAGAGCACTAAACATTGCTTAACCATCTCCATCATAGTTAGCAATTGGATGGTTTTTAGCATTAAAACAGCCTACAAAAGCAAATTATGTCAGGACATTCCTTCTCTTGCACGTACTTCCTGTGTACATTGCCACAACTCATGCAAATCCCGTCCCAGAAGGGATTTTACTAAGTTGTCTGGCTGACAGCCTTCAAAGCTGAGCCTACAGAAACGCTGCAGACTTTGACAGCACAGCATCACCTCCATCGCAAGACTCCTAATCCAGGTGTTGCTTTCCAGCTGATGAGTGCTTGCCATTGCGACAGCAACATTTCTCTGAAAAAAAATAGGGGTTTTATGTGTAACTGTGCTAATTCCTTCATGGGACACTTGCAGAGTTGGGCGATCTCTGACACCTGGAACTAACGTTGTAACTGGCAATGGCAGTAAGTTTTCACCTTCTAGATCTCTCTGCTACTGGAGGGATGAGAAATGTACTTTCAAAACCTAACTTTTTTTCAGATTTAAGCATCATTTCAGATTATGGTTAGAATAATTCCTAAAACAGAATAGGCCTTCCCAGCAGGAAGTATCACAAGGCATTATAACACAACAGACATTAATTTTTTTATTCACTGAAACACAAGTCTGAAAGCAGAAGCAAAACTACCTTAGGCTGGGCTGAGTGGGCTGTAACTGATCCTTCTTAAAGCCACCTGACAAAGGAAAAAGTAAAGGCAAGTTTAAAAGACCTGCAGCCAGCCCTTAATTCCCCTTCTGGCACAGCGGATTTTATAGCATAAAGCATCACGCCTGAAAGGCAACCCATGCCCACCTTCGGGGGAAAACTGCTATGAGAGGACAGGGAAACTTCCCACGGGCCAGGCCGTAGCAGATCCCCTGCCCGGGAAAGGGCCTGGCCCCGCAGGAGACCGCGCATGGCCACGGTACAGCCGCATGGCCGGGCTGAGCCCCCTCCCAGAGCCGCGCTTCGGCCTCCCTGGGGACCGGCGGCTCTCGAAGCGGCCTGGCTCTGACACCGGCACCGCGGCAGAGGTGCCCC